ATATTAGTAGGAGCAGTTGCATCTCGCATATTGGCCACTAGTGGCCACTGCAAAAGTGCAAAATGAATATTGGAACCAACGTTGATCATCAGTCGCTCAATCAATCACTAGTGTTTCGTTCTCTTTCAAAACGCTTTTCGGCAATACTTTCATATGAAATTAGTGACCAATAAACAAATTAATGATGAAAGTCCATCATATTTTTGGGATCCTTTCTCGAAATTCTCTTGTTGCACTCCAGCATTCACCACTTAGTTTTTTTTTTGGCTGATTTATTCAGTCGACGCATATGATTTCAACCTTCCGTAAAGATGCAAACCTTAGCAAAAAGTTTTTACAATCACTTTTCTTTAGATCCCTTTTATCGACGATTTTCGGGTGGTGCTAGCGAACCACCTTCCGTTCGTTCCTATTCCTCATTTCTTTACATCTACTATACCTCTATTCGATTATATATTTGCATTCCATTTGCATGTTCCGTTTATTTTGATTAGATTTTAATCGCATATGAAATAAAATAAAATTCGCTTTATTTTAAATAAATAGAAATATGAAAAGAAATACGATAGGCAAAGTAGAAAAGAATTTTAAAATATCATTGTTGCATGAACCGAACACGGGATTTTTCTCTTCGCCTTTCTCTGTTCAAGAGAGAACAAGCAGAGATTTTAGCAGTAACTGCATGTTTTGCGGCAATAAACACTATAATACGATGATAATGGATGTACACGGCAGAAATGTAGGTGACGAGCGCAATCGACCCTTTCATCCCTGCAGTTCGACGAGGCGACAGTAGTCGTTCCTAAAAATATCACAAAATAATATTTCGCAAAATATAGGGTTTCATATAGATTTACTTTAAAGAAAAATTTTACCTAAGCAATTTTTTAAACCACAAGTTCTTTGGCAATTTTGCTGCATAAATGTATCATTGCAGGGACGCAAATTTCTTAGGAGATTACAATTTTCATTAGTGTCCGGGCAACCACCAGCCGAGCCAGGTTTATCGCATAAGCCACAAGTTTTTGCACATCTTTCAAGTGCAAAAGCGGAGAGTTGTGGACTGCTACAAAGAGCTGGATTTTCCGCAAATAGTGTGCAATTGCTTGCAGCTGAAAAGTTTATGATAAATCGCACCTAAGATTCTGCACCTTCGTTTGAAAAAAAACTTGAAAAGAACGACTTACTATCGGGACAGCCGCTGAACTGAGGTGTTTTGCAACATAAAGCACAAGTTGATGCGCAAAATTTGGTAGCAATGGACGAATGTGTGGCTTTAAAACAATCCTCGTGGACCTTGTATGGTTTGGTCCTGCAAAATATGTGTATTTATTGCATGAGTACTCCAGAAAGAAAGACAAAAATTTCAATTTTTTATTTAAATACGTGTTTTCATAATATTTGCTGAAGATTTTATTATAGTTGTAATACGCCACATTCTCAATATGTAAATAATGTCGAAGTGGCAAAATCAGTCGAAATGAAAACCATGCGGGAAGTGTGAAATTTACCATCCGATTATAGTTATTTCGAATTGTACATTATATTATGTTATTATGCACTATATTGTATTATTTTGCAATTTCCTCTTTATTTCATCTTTAAATTGTTAATTTATTTTTTTTTATTTTTATCCTTAAATCTTATTATTTGTTATTTTAACTGTTGTTATTAATACAAGCACATGACGTTTGCGCCTCT